GATGAAAGGTTGACTATAATTTACTTTTTAAGGAAGGGCAAATAAATGCTCTATAGCATATGTTTGCATATGGAATGGACTGGAGAGTCATAAAACGAAAACGAATGGGGTTTGGAGAATTTTTACCCTAATAATGAACATAAGCTTATATAGATGGAAAGGACTTTAGAGGTCATCTAGCCCAACCTCTACCTGAGTAGAAATGCTCTATTATAATACTAGTAATAATAATATAGAAGTTTATTTCAAAATAAGACTTTACAAACATCATTGGATCTCATAATGACTATGAGCAAATTATTATCATTCCCATTTATAAGTGACAACAATGAGTCTATGAGAGAGAAAGAGTAAGGGCTTAACCCAAGGTCACACAGTCAGCACATGGCAAACACAAGATTTGACTTAAGGTCATTTAATTCCAAATTCACTTCTATTTTCATGATAACACAGCTTTCCAGGGTACAAAATGAGAAAATCAGAACATCTTGTGGAAATGTGGCTCCTACCTCACGGGGCTGGAACACTGCTCTCATCCTTGTCCCGCTGTATCCTTCTCCCTCTGTGCCCTTTAATGACCTTTTCTCATTTCTCATCCTTCTTGACCTCTCTTCAGTCTTGACATTCCTGATCACCTTCTTCTCCTATCTCTCAGTTCTGAACTTTTATGATACTGATCTCTCCTGATTCTTCTCCCATCTGTCTAATGGCTCCTTTTAAATCTCCTTCACTGGATTTTCATCCAGGTCATGCCCACTATCCTGGGTATACCCCAAAGCTCTGTTCTCGATGCTCTTCTATTTTCCCTCTGTACTGTTTCAATTGGTGATCTCATCAGGTCACAGGAGTTCAATTATCATGTTTATAATGATGATTCCCACATCTATTTATACAGCCCTAAGTACTCTCCTGGCCTTTAGTTCCTGCATCCCTGGCTGCCTTTTGGACATCTCAAAGTAAATGTGTGGTAGACATCTCAAACTCAACAGAATTTCATTATCTTTTCTTCTCAAGTCCTCTCTTCTTCCAAACTACACTATTCTTGTGAAGGGCACCATTGCCCTCCCAGTCACCCAGATTCTCAACCTTGCTATCATCCTTAACTCCTCATTCACACTCACACTCGAAAGAATAGGCGAGGAGTGAGAGCATTCCAGAGATAGGGGAACAGCCAGGGAAAAGGTATGCTGAAAGTAGACGAAGCTTCATGCATGAGGAGCAGCAAGAAGGCATTTGTGTGTGTGGCTCGGATAGTTACTTGTGTTTTCTACCTCAGTTAAAATGTGAGCTCCTTGAGAGCGTAGACCGAGTTTTTTCCTTTCTTTGTAGCCCCAGCACAGTGCCACAAACATAATAACCACTTAATAAATGCTTGCTGACTGGCTAAGGTCATCTTCCCACTTGAAGCCAATTAGATGTGGACTAGACTAAGCCATCTTTCTCCTGAGAGAGGCTGCTTTGATTCTCAGTCTGTATCAACACAGAAAAGAGAGGTAGGTCTTCATGGATCACAGCCAGTGTAAGAGAGTTTCTAACTCCTCTGTAGCTTTGGCCATGTGAATATTTGTTAGAATATTTCGATAGAAGGGACGTTATATTTTATTCACTCTAGGTCTGTGGAGTGTAGTTTACTTTCCTCTGAGTAGATAACACTAATCCTCAATAAATAGCACTTACACAACTTACACTTACCCAAGAAGTGGGTACCCAGCCATTTAGGGAGAACCCATTACATCCTGCAGCAGCGCCATTCCCTTTTGGATGGTTCTGTTACAAAGTTTGTTGCCCCCTCCCTTATATTAAGCCTAAATTTTCCTTTCTGCGGGCTTTACCCATTTGTCTTGATTCTGTCGTCTGGCATTTTGTGAGTGTGATCCACCTCTACTCTTTGTTCAAAGATGCTTAATTCTTCTGCCCCTCTTTCTCTTAGAAAGAGAAGAGTCAGAGTGGTGTTAGGGGAAAGGGCACTAGATTGGGAATGAGAGGAGTGAGTTCAAATTTTAGCCCTGTTATTTAGTATCTGTGTGAACCTCAACAAGTCGCATGACCTCTCTCTCCCAGCTATTTTCTCACTTGTCAAATGAAGGACTTGGACTAAATGACCTGTAAGATCTCTTCTAGTTCTTAATCCTGGGATTAAGTGGTAAAGTGGCTTTAAAAGTACTTTAGGTGAAACATTCCCCCCGCAATTTTTCTTCTTTGCTTAGCCTCACCCCACCCACCACTCTGCAATGATTGGTTTTTATCTGTTAGGTATAGAATAAGCCTTCCCTACTTACTAGCCTATTTTACATTGTCTTGTACTCCCTAGTTCTGTTACTTACTATTTATGTGATATGTCTTCACTTCTGAATAATGTTCAATTTGAATAGATACTAGCACCATCACTTTAAGTCTTCCTGCCACTGCTGACCTCTCAGGCAAGGACTTAATGAGCTGAAGGACATAACTACAGTAGGGACATCATTATTCAACGAAACCCTGCAAGTCAGCCTTTGGTGAAGTAAACAAGTGTTTTGGTAACAACCTCCTAATTTATCTGTTTTGTGAGTTCAAATTGGGGATCTAGCAGATTTTCTGAAAGTTGGACATACTTATTTTTTTTATTTCCTTACTTCCTGTTCTTTCCAAATGTGTATAAGTTTTCCCTTTGAAAAAGAGATCTTCTTGGGATCACAGGCAGTATAAGAGAGTTTCTAATTCTTGTCCTGCTTTTACCACATGAATTTATATTAAAATATTTTGCAAGAAGGGTCATTATACTTTACTCAATTCAGGTAGAAAGTTGGTTTCCACTCACAATATTTTCCTGAGCATACCACCACCCTGGGCATGCTGACTACTCTTGCAGCTGGGTAATTTGTGGAAAGCATTGACCTAGTTCCAACTCCAGCTTGACTTCAGACAATGTGGACTCTTAGAAGGATGTTATTTAAATAATTATATTCATCTGGAATGTATGCAGTGTGGTTCCCTCTAGGAATACAAAAGCACATCATGCATGCCTTCTTTGTTCTGTCTCTCCCAATTTTGCCTCCATTTATGGGGAGGCAGTAGGGATGAGGGTGGGGGTATTATGACAGGGGGGAGGCTGAAAGGGAGGAAATAGTCATAGACTGGAACCAGATGACCTAATTTCTCTTCCTAGCCCTGCTACAAACTGTGTGCCTCTGGGCAGGCTTCTTGGGGCCTCAGTGGTCTGTACAATGGGTATAAAAATGCTTGCACTAACTACCTCACAAAATTGTTCTGAAGGTAGTCCTTCATAAACTTTGAGAAGGCAATATGTCTCAGCAGAAAAATCATTGATGGTTATGGAACACAGCTTCATTTCCAAACTCCAACATTCAGTAGATATGCAGCTATAGTCAAATCACTAAACCTCCCTTAGCCTATCTCTAGAATTGGAACAATAATACCTGTATTACCTATCTCATAAAGTTGTGAGAAAAGCAATTTGTAAACCTCAAACACTATATAAATATGCTCTGTTGTTGTGAAGGATAAAGAAATTAAGAGCCAAAAGGGTTATGACATATGAGATTAGAGATATAGGTCTGGAAGGGTCCTCAGAGGTCATCTAGTCTGACTTCATCATTATATAGATGAGGAAACTATGGAAACTAAGTGACTTATCCAAGATCACAATGGTAGTTGATATCAAAGTTGGGATCTGAATTCATGTCCTCTGTCTCCAGAGCCAGAGTTTTTCTCAATGTTTCATTATGTAATGTATCCAGAGAATAGAACCACATTCTTTTGAAACAGTCCAGTGTATTTTCATCTAACAATGCTCACATCAGCATTTGGGGTCAGTGGAAGAGGTAATCAGGAGACTTCACACCAGTTTTAGACACCATTAAATTAGATACTATTCAAGAATTCAAGTTTGGGATAGCATATGGGCCCTCCTGGTAGTTTTAATCATAGTGAATTCATATCAGTGGGATCAGAATTAAACTATCCAAAGAGCAACACAGACTCATATACATGTTTCACCAAATTCTGGCAGGGAGTGAAAATGTGGTTGTAGTGGTAGGTAGCTCTGATATCTTTGAATAGGTGCTAACTGCTTTGTTCAGTCATTCCATCATGAATTTAACAGTAGCCACTTTGGCAGATACAAATATGATCTTACTTGTAAATGTGAGCAATCAGTTGGTCCTGAGGACATGAAGGAAGGAGATGTGAGTCCAGATGCATTGAGGAAACATTGGGGGAGGGGGGAGACATGTCCCCTGGTGCTAGGCAGGGGTTGAACATGAAGTGTCTACAAATGACCTTTTCAAGAGTAGGTAGCCTCTGCTATGTGCCATGGAGCTAGATCATGCATTAAGAAGTCGAATAATTAATTTCACAAACAAATCCAGCAAAAGTGGAATATATGCTGCTTCTTACGAATTTCTCTGTGTTGGTTTGGGGATCTTGCTGAGCCATATTGCTAAATTAACATAGTATGCATAGGTATACTGCTTTAGAGGCAAAAGACCATCTTAGCATCCTTTAGTGTAATGAGTTTGGCTTGCCATTTCAATTAATTAAGTGATTAAATACCCGGGCCAATAAAATTCAAACCCCATTTCTTTTGGGGAAAAAAAGAACAAAAAAAGCTTCCTAAAATGAAATCATCCACTAACATTGTCTTTATGTCTATAAAACCACTTAGTTGTTTGTCCATGGTTATTTGTTTATTACCATCTCTTCTGTTGCTCTACTACTAAGATGTTGACATCTCATTTTAATTTTTTTAACCTTTAATGGTAGAGTGGTTAATTTGTTAAATTTCTGTATTTGACATTGTTTTTGTTCTTTTTTTTTATTCTGTTCCCTGCTTTTTGCATTTTCCTCCTTCCCTTCCCACTTTAATCGTTTGGCTGTATGGGGGATTTTGTGTGTTTTTTTGTTTTGTTTTTCGTTTGTGGTCTGTTTGGTTTCCATTTTTGGTCTTGTGTTCTCTTCTTTCCTTCTGTCCTCTTGTCCTTGCTATCCTGCCGCTATAGCCTCACAGGCTGGGGAAGCTGGCTGACCAGGTAGGGGATTTTCCTGTTCCCTCAATAGCAATACCTACCTTATCAGCTTCCAACAGTGGAACAGACTAGAAGTTGAGTCTGGAGATTGAAGGGTTTAAAGACCCTTTGGTGCAACAGTGCATAATGGCCCAGGGCTATTTAATCTGCTCAAACCTCATTAAACATTTCACCTTTGTGACAAATGCTTCACTTCCATTGAACATAACCAATGGTGTGTGTTAATCTCATCTTCCATCATTTTCACTGTTAGACTTGTTTTATGTTTGTTTTCGAAATTTGGCTGAGTCCTAGAAAATCTGTCAACAGAAATACCTTTTCTTCCCCCATTTCCATTCTACAATCAATAAAGCATGTTGCATTACTTGAAACATCCAACTAGTTCTCCACTCAGCACTAGTCTGTTACACAGCTGAGTATATTTAAGTAGATTTGCCAAGATGTCTGGCCAGTTAGGCCCCTCCTTGTATTGTATATTAATGTAATCTTCATCCTAGAGGCTAACCTGCATGTATTGCTCCTTACCTCTTTCTCTGTCTTGGTGTTGGGTTCTTGATGAGAAGCATTGTTAAGTAAAGAGAGTATAGAGTTAATAGCTCATCAATAAATTTAGTTTACTTGTCTACCTTTGGAATGGAGTTACGGTTTCCCTGAGAGAATGAGTGTAGCTCTACAACTAAAATGCCAGCTGATATTTCTATAGTCAGAAAATTGGTACTGAATCAGACTCAAAGAACTGTCGAACTCAAAGGTCTAGCCTAATCTCCACACGCAGTAAGAATCCCATCTATTGTATATCAGATAAATGGTCATCCTGCCTTCCCTCAAAGATCTTTGCTGACAGGAAACTTGCTACCCTCCTAGGCATCCCATTCCATTTAATGCTAAGCTGATATGTTGGCCTTTAAAATTCTTACCCATCTGGCCCTTGTACTGCCTTCTAAGGTCAAGCAGAAAAAGCCTAACCCCTCTTCCACATGACAGCCTTTCAAATTCTTGAAGATGAGTATTTTCCCCTACCCTGACTGTTCTTTTCTTCTATTTATACATCCCCAATTTTTTTTAACCATACTCATAAAGCAGTTTCATATCTCCTCACCATCACCACCATTTCTTCAATGGATTCCATGTTTCTCCCCCACAAAACAACAAATATTGCCTTACCTAGTGTCTGTGTGGAACCCAGACTTGTCATACTGAGACTGAATGGAATTACTATCTCATGCTATGTTGTTCTGCTTAGTGTGGGCATTGCAGGGATTCGTGGAGCCGAGGCAAAATGTCAGAGGCAATAGGATTTAGTCAAATTGTCTTTCTAGCTGGAGAGCATAAACAAAATGGCAAGGACTTAATGTTAGACGTTCAGATAATAATGAAAAAAAGAAAGCATTCAGGCACAGAGCCAGTGAGGACTCAGTCCTGGGCACCAGGACTAATCAGTCAGACAGAAAAACAATTCCCATTTAGATACCATAATGTCCCATCCATCTGAATAGGGCTGGTGTAGACCATCTCTGCATTTCATAGAAAAGCTTAAAAAAACAGCTTCCAAAGCAGAAGCAGAAATATTGGACCACAGAGTTGTAGAAGGCTTAGAAGGAACAAAGTAATTGCTCTTTACATCTTCCTCCTTAATACATGTCAGTTCATGCCACGTGGTCTGCATTAATATCTTGAGCTCTAAACACACCTTTTTTTGGTGCATGCAGTGAGAATTTCTCAGCAAACCATGTTTCATATTCTTGACTCCCTGCTTCTACTACCCCAATGTTTTCTTAAACCATCCCAGCTTTCTTTTATTTGGCAAAACATTTGGCATGCCTCTTATGGTATATTATTTCCATTATCTGTAACTGCGTTTGAACTGAAATATCCACAATTATGTTGATAAATTTCTTATTTGAGACCAATCTCTTTTGAAGTTCTGATCATCAATTCCAAAGGTAACAGGTGCCTCTGGGTAGGTATGGTTTTATGCATTTTTTTTTTCTAATCAAAGATTGTAACTTAAATATGTCTCCACAAAAAAGTATACTTAATTGATAGTTAAATTACATGCTTCTATTTTAGTGGCTCACCAATAGCCCATAAGTAATGTGTAGAGCACAAAGAATGAGTGCTCCACAGTCAGGGAAATCTTTCCATTCACAACCCCGATTAACTAAAACATATCCTTGTTTACAGGGAACGTCTGGACCTGATCCAACCACTGTGTATGTTGATATGAGGGCACTAAGACATGACAGGTATGACAACACCCTCTTCTTGTTGCTTTCCTAGCATTCAAGTACCCAGACAGACAAAAGGGGGGAAAAAGAGATGGAAGCTGTAAATATCGGCCAATTCAAAGGAGAACAGGGATCTAAGTAAGATGGAAGGGTTGCTTCTGGTCAGGAGGCAGAATGCTGGTGCTTTTAAGTACTGTAAATCTTCACCACATTTTAAGCTTTGGAGTTAACATGCCCAGTGGGATAATAAACCTCTTGAAAAATGGCACATGTTGTACAGATGTACTGCAGATGCTCCTACATAATAACCAGGAGTGATTAAAGCAGCTGAATCGAACAATCTCACCTTATAACCATCCTTATGATCTTGATCTGGGCTGTTTAAAATAGCCACTATTTTGCACCACAATAGAATACCAAAATTTGTCCTCATCTCTCTACTTTATTATTTCCCCCTAAAAGAGTATCTTGTGAGTAGATACTGGGCTGCCCCAGCTGTGTGGCTTTTTCTAATCACCGCTAGGAGAAGGGTTTAAGAGGTAAATTATCAGCTTATAACTGGAAGAACCACATATAGTTTTGTTTTTGTTTTTGTTTTTTAAATCAGTATGGCAGTGAAAGGTCTCAGGAGAGAGGAGGGAAGAAATAAGGAGGCTACAAGCAGAGACAGCTGGTGGGGTCATAAATAGAGTGCTGGGCCTGGAGTCCAGAAGATCTAACTTCAGATCTAGCATCATTCTCTTGGGCAAGACATTTCACTTGTATTTGCCTCCATTTTTTAACTGTAAAATAGCACCAAACTCCCGTTGTTGAGCTAATACTTGTAAAAGTGCTTAGTACAGTACCAGGTACGTAGTGGGCCGTGTATAAATGTTTATTCTCTTCCCTTCCATTTAAAAGGAACCTCTGTCTTGCAGTACAGAATCTAGTAAAAAGTTCCTGGTGGGAGGAGAAGGTTCTTATCGTTTTCATGAAAGGTTTCGGAGTAATGTTTCCTTTTTATCAGGTAGTGGTGGAAAAGGTCATATATTGTTCCCACTGTCTGATTATTATTAGTAGAAACATTTCCTAATATGTTAAGTGCCGGATTTAGTGCAGAGCTTATAAAAGCTCTTTGGTATTTCAGACAGAGAGAGAGAATTTTGCAGTGGAGAGGGAATTTAGAAATCATAGTCTGCCCCCCTTGGCTTACAGGCAAGGAAGCTGAAGCCAGAAGGATTTGTGAGTTGCCCTGGGTCCATCACTGTTCTGGGGCAGCATTCCTCCAGCAGTAACCCAATGCCTCAACTCTGAATTATCCAGTGACAAAGAGGAGAGAGATGACATTGTATCCCAGGCAGCAGATAATCCAAACGTTTTCCATTCCACCTTGAAATGTAGTTTTTTTTTTCCTCCAGCAATTCTAACCTTCTTAGTTTGATGTAGTTTAAAATGAGTTTGCATTCTCTTAGCTCACTCTACCTGGACCAAAGCATGGTAATCAAGCTACCAAGGAAATGAGCCTAGAGTTAAAAACCTCCTGTAGATTATCTGTAAAGTGAATCTGTCTCACACAGACAATTGAGCTACCTGCATTTGTGATTCCCTTAATTTCTGAGTTACAGCCTTATCTGTTTTTAAATTTTGCTTTCTTGGAGTCATAGGATTGTAGATACAGAGTTGAAAGGTACCTCAGAGGCTCTCTGGTCTGAGCTCTTCATTTTACAGATGAGGCTCACAGAGGTGAAGTTACTGGCCCAAGGTCATGTAAGTGGAAGAAGGTGGGGTTTGAAGCCAGGGCCTTTAACTCCAAATTCAGCACTGTCTTCTGTGGCACCTGAGGTCATCCAAAAGAAAAAAAAAACTCTCTTCTTTTACTTTATATTTGTTGATAAGTAGTCTGCCACAATTCATTCTTGTAAATGGAAAGATTTCTTTGTACTGAGCTCCTGTCATTGAGGGATTATCACTGCCCCTTTCTTAGCTAAGCTGTACAAAAATTGAAGTGTTGTAACATTTAATTCTTTAAATGTTCAACTTTTGTAGTCTGTAAACAGGTACTCAAGTTATTTAGTAAGATGAGTCATATTTAGATGTTCTGAGCATTGCTTGTAGAATATTTTCAGATTTTTTTTCTGTGATAGTGATAACTTAATATTCATAAGGCAGCAAAACCTACAAAGCCATACCTAAGACATCAGCCCTAGCTCTTGAGAAAGGAATTTACATTTCACTCAAATAAAGTTAAAGGATCTTTACTAAATGGGGTAGCGTTGGGGAATCAGTGTGTTGCTCTAATTTATGTCAGTTACCAATTGTTAGGACAGTGGAAAGAAGAGCATGGACTCTGGAGTAAAGGATCTAGGTGAAAATCCTGTTTCTAATGCTTACTACTTAAATGACCTGAGGCAAGTCAATTAATTTCCTGGGACCTAAGTTTTGTTCATCTATAAAGTGAAGGAATTGGAGTGGATGGCTTCTGAAGTCCCTTCCAGCTCCAGACTAATGCCACTCTCTGGCTAAGACAGCAATTCTAGAAAAGTTCTCTTTGCAACACTTCCCTCTCATTTTATAAGATGTAAATGATCTGTACTAGGACCTCACTATCATATTGCTTTCTCTGTAGTGGGATTAGGCACCTGCTAGGCCCAATTTGACCCCACGATCAGGAGGCCTAGGTTCTAGTCTTACTTCTAGCCCTTATTAGCTGTGTGATCTTTGACAAGGTACAAAACCACTCTGAATCTTAGGCGCCTCATCTGTCCACTACGAATAGCAGTATTTCTGTTCAGTCCAGCCAACTACCACGTGGAAGGCACTATAGTATTTGCCTTCCAGAGTTGTTATGAGGAAAGCATTTGTAAACATTGTTCTATATAAATGTGAGCTGTAATCACTATTTTTATAATCAGAGAGATTTAGTTACTGATGTACTAAAAGGACTTGGGCAGGAGGCAGTTTCACATGTAAAGCAGTCCCAAGTGTTTCTTGGGTGATTCCATGCTATTTATATTAAAGCACTAAAAACATGTGAATAAAATCTAAGAACAAAAAATGTCAAACGCTCTTTGTAGATTCAGAAGAACACAGTTCAGAAACAAGTGGGATTTTTAAAAAATCCAACAAGAAACCCACTCAGCTCCTAAGTCTCTGCACCTGCAGCCCTGAGTAACTATCCTTTAAAAAGTCAATACTATCTCATTAAACACATATGCCTCAGTGACTCACACGTAGTACTGTGTGTATTATAGCCCTTGAGATCAGTGAGAAAAAAATTAATACACTAAGACAGCACTGATAAAGATTGCTGCTCTTTAGAGCACTAGAAAAAAGACTTCCCTTTTCAAGGGTCTGGCCCCCATGGTGGACTAGCTGAAATGGATATTTTCTGTTCTCAGATACCAGGCAGGGCAGATCTCGGGAAATCACTCATCCGACTCCATTTCCTCCTTTTGGGGAGATGGCTTACCAAGATCAGCACAAAAGGAGGAGCTAGTTCATTTGTGGAGTGAAAACCAACCAAGCAAAAGCATGTATTATGAGCCTGCTACTAAGTGCCATACTCTCTGTTAGGCCCTGGAGATACAAAGGTGAAACAGCACCTATGCTCAGGGTGTTTTTACAGTGTAGGTGGCGCAGACAACATATATAGAAAGAGATATATACAAAATAATAGTGAGGGAGGGATGAGCATCTGGGGGAACAGGAAAGGCTTCGTGTAAACGGTGGCACTTGAGCTGAGCCTGTCACTCCCAGGACAGATACGGCAGAGCAGGATTCCATCTCTCCTCCTAGTGAGGCCCTAGAAGGACATGGGTTCACAGGGAAGCCAGTCTGCTGCTGGTGAGGGGTTCCATACTCATGATGCTCTGCTCTGCTTGTAAGATTGGCTGTGCCCCCAGAAGTATATCTCCCTGGTGATGAGTCTCTCTTTAGCTCATGTGATTCTCAGAAAACAGACAGACCTGTGGTCTGCAAAGCTTCTGCATCTAGGAAGCTCCTGGCTGGGTGCTGTAGCCTTTACACACCCAGGGTCACCCGTGTACTAAGATGATGCTTTGGAATAGGACTTTGTTTAAGGTGGAGACCCACACAATGGAGGATGCCTACACCAGTGAAGTCACAGATCCACCAAGGCATCTCTACATGTATTCTTGCAAATGGGGGCTTCTTCAAGGTCATCATGTTGGGGAGGGTGCATTTATTTCAATGATGTTGCCACTATTCAAAACGTTTCTGGACCTCCTCTGCCTTTACTTTAACATCTACTTATCTTCATCTGCTAACAGGTTTTTTTGTTTGTTTGTTTTTGGAGCCATGTTGGAGGGTAAAGGTTGACAATAATCCTGGTGATTATTGTAAAAAAGCAATATAAAAAGAAGGAAATTGAGTCTATCAAGTGGCTGGCAAATTAGTTCAGGAGAGACTTTTCCAGACAGTAGGTCCATCAACATTTTGATCACTATCAAGCATTGTTGTTAGAATTTTAAAAGAAAAGAATTTATGTAGTACTTTAAGATTTGTAAAACACATTAAAAATATTATCTCATGTGATACAACAGTCCTGTAAGGTGGGTATTATTATTATTCCCATTTTACAGGTGAGAAAATTGAGGAAGAAAGGTTAAGTGACTTTCCCAGGGTCACATAACCAATAAGTGTCTGAGGCAGGATTTGAACTCAGGAGTTCTTGACTCCAGCTCTAGCACTTTATATACTGTGCCACCTACCTGCCCACAGAGAATAACTGTATAGACTCTCAAGTTGACTACTTTGAGACTACTAACATTAATTTGGATATAAAAGTACTTAAGTGTTTGCTTTTTAAAAAATCAAGTAGCATTACCCATAATTACATCTCATACATGGGAAAACCTGTGTCATTCTACAAACATTTATTACAGCACCAAAAAGGCACTAGGCTAGGGCTAGGGATAGAACAACAAAAATGAAACTAGTCTCGCCCTCGAGGAACTTACATTCCACTAGGAGGGTGGGACCTGGATACAGAGAAGAAAAGAGAAAGTTCACGCAAAGGA